GTACAATTATATAGGTAAAAATTTTTGTACCTTTGCAATTTCAACGAATTAAAAGTTTCATTTTGGATTAATTTTTGTTCTTATGACTATCTTTGTTAGAAAACTGAAACAAATATGCTTTGATCAATTTTATTGATGTTTTGGTAAGATATTGTCAAATATTATTCACAAGTACACTTCATGTTCAACATCATAGTTATGATAATTGCAGAATATACTTAGTCTTAGTGGAATTGCAGGAACCATGTCTGATGGAATGGTGCAAATTGATGCTATTAAGTGTCCCTGATATACATATGAAATTTAGAAAACCTCTTTAAAATCCTTTTAAGTAGTTCATTTAATACCAAGAATTTCAGTTACTAAATAGTTTATATAGTATCCTGCTTTATTTAAAGTTATATTATATTAGTATATTACCAATCATTTTATTATCATTATCTCTTTTATCATACAACTTCCTGGTGGCGCTAAATATTTTAATTCTGATTAAACCTTATAAATCTTTGGAAAATTAGTAGGATGATATTAATGTTGTTGAGTTGATATAGCAATGGCCCCTACTCCCAACCCAACCCAAATCCCCTGCATTACCCAAATCCCCTCCCTCTTTCTTAGTGGTGACTCAATAGGCCTACAAAGTTCTAAATTCTTAAATTGCATGACATAATTGAAAAATAGCACAATCAAATGCCTTGGATTTTCTCAACATTATAAAATTGTAGAGAATCTTTTTTTGTTCTCCAAGAATAATATAAATTTATGATCATATGGAGAATTTAGAAATGAAATTCCTTGTATTTTTTTTTTAGGAATAATGGGCATCATAACAATGATGACTTGAAACATAAGTTGTAGAGCAATAGATTTAAACTATATGAAAGGTACCATTGAGATGTGAATAGATAGATAGATAGATAGTATTTACTTATTATAAGTAATGTCAATACACTTATAAAGACATGTAAACTAGATCTATTTATTGTATATTTTATCTTGTTACCATGTCACTCTCGTGGTTTTAACCACACATGACCACTTTCAATAGATTTATTCATGTTCTGTGGTCAGAAGGTTTTTAACCTTTTATCTCTGTAACTTTACAAATTTATTGATCTCTGAACAAATCTTAAGTAGGATCGCCAGTTTTATTTTTGTCATTTAAGTTGGTCAATCTTCTTCAGCTCTGAAGGATTATGATATGTTATTTGCTATCTTACTCCTTCAGTAGCATACGGATATTACTGCCACTGAAGCCTTATTAGCTCCCTTGACTCCACCTACATCACTATTCATTTGGTTAATCTGTGAGCTTCTTACAACATTTGAATACAATTTTCGTTTCTCATTCACCTCTCCGAGAATGTACAGTGAAGTGTTTGATACTGTCATTAATCGCAAAATATTCTTCATCACATAAGGCCCTTTACTATTAGTAATGTCATCAAAGATTTAGTTTAAGTAGAATTGCAGGAACGACAGACGTCTGAATGAAAATTAGAATGGTTCTAATTGATGCTATCAGTGTCCCAGTTACAGATAACAGTTTAGAAAACCTTTTTACATTCCCTTTAAGAGTGACCCCGGACAATTGCCCAAAATATTATATAAGAGGATATGATAGCCATTAACATAGTTTCTCCTCTAGTCCCTTCACACTCTGAGTAATTTCTGTAGGTGTAGTTTACCGGTAATAATGTCCTAATGTTAGTTTTAGGGAGTGGCCCCTTTTTGACCCAATCAATGTGAGGTGGTGAAATCAGAAATGTGTATATTGACTATTATTTATAATTTGACTACACTCCTATTAAAATAATAAAAGTAAGGTTGAACTATTTATTAGTGGATTATAGTAACTACAACATATTATATCAGGTAACTACACTTTCTCAATCATTTTCATAATGAAATATAATACTTTCTGTCTACAAAGTTAACTAAATCAAATTTTGACAATCATTTTCATATGAATTGAAATATCACCTGAGAGTCTTGGATTGTCTTTGGGTTTATGAAAATGTTTACCACTGGAAAAGTTATTATTTGTACATGACACGGCGTGAAAATTGTGATTTTTTCTAATTCTGAGTCAAAAGGCCACAAAGGTGACCTATTCTGAAAAAAAAAAGATTTAGATCTCAAAAGGATATTTGAAGCTATAATCAGAAATGACTGGTTAATACAACTGAATCCACAGCCCTGATTTGACCAGTTTCAGTAAATGAGTTGCACACAATACTGATCATGCCTTGAAAGAAATGTTTAGATTTATATATGTATATATTGCAATTTAAAGCAATCACAACAACCTGTTTCTGTCTGTTCATATATTATGTAATAGTCACAAGTTTCAGGAATGTGTTCATTTACAAAATAAACATTAAGATGCATATTGATTGGTTTTGAAATTATGGAACCTTATGCAAGTTATGTATACTGAAGTGAAACACTTTAGAAATATGCATTAATTTTGTTTGTTTTGAAAGAAATAGGACTGGCTTCAATCTTCTATTGTGCTATGTAAGTCATAACCAAAAAAAATAAAAATTGAAACCCACCCAAAATTTGAATTTTGAGAAATATGTTGCAATAGTTGTAAATGTCAAGGGAAATTTTCACCAGCTGGTTTCAAGTAAATATGTTTGTAATTGTTGAAGCGTTGATGTTAAAAAATGAAGTTAATTCTGAAAGATCAGAGGTTGATGTTAAACACCCTGTTGAACCAAATAACCCAGATTGACCCTATTTTCAATATTTTTTTTAAAATGATATTTTGCTTTAACATTTTTGTTGTAATCTTGATGTTTATCAGTGACCCAAGTTAAAAAGTATGAGTTTGGCTTTAGGGGGAAATAGGGAATTTTTGGATCATTGGGCATTTTTCATTAACCAAGTTTAAGTATGTTGACAATGGACTATTTAAGTGTGTTCGACATCTCTTGGGTTTTCATCACATGTAAAAACCTTAATAGTCTATTCACTCTTTTATTTAAATACATCAGCTTTCATTGGTCCATTCAAATATGACTAATGATTATGAATAGGTTTCAGGGTCAAAGAAATTTCTCTTTCAAAAGAAACATACAGTATAATGAACCCCCAGTGTATAATATCGCATAATACTTCATAATAAGTTTCTATGTACTCATAATAGTAATAATACAGGTATTATAATTGTTATCCATTAAAGGGACAGTAAAGAGGTTTTTCTAAACTTTATATGAAAGACACTTATAGCATAAATTTGCAACATTCAGTCAGATATCTGAAGTATTTTATGATGTCACTATTTCAAAAACCTTTCAATATTATTAGCAACTTGTGCTACATTTAATGTTTAGTCTTAGTGCAAGAAACACAGACCCCGGACTGAAAATAGTGCTTTCTGTGTCCAAGATACACATACAAACATTTACAAAGATCAGAAAACTTTTTAACTATCCCATTCAGCTATCAGCTCATGTAGAATGCATTCATTCATTCACAAATAAGCTAAATATATGAATTTATTTGATTAATAAAAGTTTTCTGAATGAAAATGTTGAATAGAAATATGCATTGAGAAATGATCAAACAAATATCAATATCAAGATTTGAAACCCTACTTGTATCTTTGAATAGATGGATAGTACTGAATAATAGATAAGCCTATATTCATTTCAAAATAAAATTTCATGTCTTATAACCCTAGTACATATACAAGTAATATCCCAGGGTCCTAGTTCTCGTTAACTTAGTATGATTTTAGTGTTCCAGTCATCTGATTGGTCAATCACTAAAATGAAGTTGAATTTAATTTTATTATAAAATTAGATTACTGCATTTTTTGGGATTATCCGGATTTTTCCTTAGGTCTTCGAGTTTCAGGCCCCAGATTAACTAAGCAGTTATTTTACATAAATCCGTACAGTAGTTTTCTTACGGCTTCCAAAAAACATAACAAACTTAAGAAGGTTACGTAATTAAAACTTTCAGATACATCAAAGGACACATTTATCCTGATTATGGTTTGTAGGTTTCACAACTTGGAGGAAAAAGATTTTTGGACCTTCAAAAAAAGCAGAATTTCCCTTTTAAGAATACTTCTTGTGAATCACATTGCTACTTTACAACAGATGTTTGTATCTAATAGAGGAACTATTATTTAATCAGATATATTTTATAATATCATTTATAATTGTATATTATTATATAAAATATAAATCTATAAATGTACACTCATAAAACTTATGCATGACCTACTTTTTACACTTACCTGATTTCCACTTCATTATCTCAACATTTTATAAAGAGATATACATCTATATTATATTAAGTGATGAAATGAAATGGAGTTTTACATCCTTCTTTTCTGAACTTGATTAGGTTTATCAAACCAGGCAAGGCTGTGCAGTGTGCAATTAGGAAAATTTTCATAAGTCTACTCTTTTTATCAAGAAATCTTTCCTCAGTTTATTTTATGAGCAGTGCAATTTTAATTTTATGTTGAGGAGAATTCATCTTTAATTTTTACAGATAACATCATTTAGTCAATAGTGAAAGTTTATTTTATCAGTATGACACTAATTAGAATTTCACTTCACCTTGGATTTTGGAATTAGCTTAAACTAATTTAAGTGATTTGGAAATCTAATGTTATTCAGTTTATCTGTAATTGTAATACAATTTTGTGGAATTACTAATATATATAAATATATATATCATTGAATTTAAACTATTAAAATTTCTTTTTATATGAGAAAATCTGTACTTTAGTCACTATGGACTGTTTTATCATTTCTGACAGCTGCCATGTATTTTACCTTGCCTGGGCAGCTATTATTTGTATCATTTCTATCAGATGTCTGTGGTTACTGTAAATTAAAAAATGCTTAACCATATATGAAGTCACTATCACAAAAGTTGCTAATTATGTTTAAGGGCTTAAGCGACAGTTGCGTCATAAAAAGCTTGGTTTGAGTAAAATTTTAAGAACATCATAAATCTGACTAAAAATTGGAATGGTGAAAATCTATGCTGCCAGTATTCACAATATACATAAAAAGTTTAGAATAACTCTTTATTATCAATATGGTTTGGTCAATTCAGGTTTTTGTCTGAATATTATTTTAATTCTATTAATTTTATTCATAAAAAAGATAAAGTGCAATTTGTCACATCGTGAGAACATGTCTTTGACATAAAAAAGTCTTTGTATTTGGTTTGTATATGTAAATTGTGATGTTGAAATGTAAGTTGGGAAGGGTTGAGAAAGTACAAAGTATTTGAATACATGTTTAAAGGGGCAATCTGTTTTTTTTAAAGTAGGAATGGTAAGTGTGGTGTTTGAATTCATGAAGGCTATAGACCAAAATCCTAAACATTAAATGTTCTTTAAAAAGTATCATGCTGTTAATTTTTAGAATGCCAATCCTATTTCAAGACTTTGTAAATCTTTGATGTTGTACAGATTTGTAGAGAGAAATGTCTCCTTATTCTGAAGGTTTAAATTAAAAATATTGAATCTTTATTGGAACACTCCATTTCAACAATTTTCAAACAAATTCGACAGATTGACCAAGTAGATGCAAAGAAGTAAATAGCATATTTTAAAAATCTCTTCAAGAATAGGCCTAATTTACAACAATTTTGATAATGAAAAGTTTGTATACAGGTTAAAGTAAGCCTTTGAAATGTGTGTCCAGAATTATCAGTGTTTGAATGTTAAAATGAAAGTGAAATTCCTAGTTTGAGGTTAGCTTATATTTGAAGTAATATAGGAATTTTCTTACATATCTAGTACCAGTACTTCAGAGTACCGGTACCTACTATTATATATTCAAGACCCAAATTGTCGCTTAAAATGTCAAACAGTCTGTCCCTTTAAATGGGATATGTAATTTTTTGTTTATTTTGATGTTGTATATTTGATGTTATGTGTAGTTTTGTACAATGTAGGTTAATTTGTTTTCTACACTAGCTACTGTTTTATTTACCTGCTTGTAAACATGATGAGGACATGTCTATATAATCTTGTCACTCATGTCTATGCATGCTGTGTGTACAACCACAAATAGATCTCTTTTGTATTTTTTTCAATGACAAAATAGTCCATAATTCAATTGCATTAAAACCTTTTCCTGGTTTCATTGATTGATATGATATAGTTTATGATGATCTTATGACTTTACATCATAAATGAAACAAAATTTCTAATATCTCGTAACCTCGAATAAGTCATCTTTCCTCATTATTCCAGTCGACCCAGCTGTACATGGGTACATATAATCCTGAAAAGATCAATACTAAGATGTTTGGCTAAGGACCAGCTGGTAGAAAGAAACTTTGTAAACCTAAGTTTTTGACCTTGTAAAATATAGTTGTTTCTTTCTTTCTTTCATGCAAAAAAGTCAGGTTTTAGAAACAAGCCACAAACTAATCCGTTTTATAAATGATTGTTAACTTACATTGATATAGTCATTTTTTTCCATCTGTATTTCAACGTATTCTGTTTTGTCATTTCAGAAACCAGTAACAGTTTATCTAGTCAATCACAGTCATCAGGAAGCACCAAACAGGACCAATGTGATGTAACTCAAGGCAATCAATTTAACAGAGGGACCAAAACAAACAACTCTACAAAATTCATTCGTTCATTAGTCAGCAAAAAGGATTTCATCTGCAACAAAGTACAGAACTTCCAAAAGAACTTGAGTAGTTTAAGAACCAAGTGCAATCAAAGTCCTAAAAAAGAGAGGAAGAGTCCAAAACGGGAAAGAAAGAGTCCTAAGAAAGAATCCAGGAGTCCTAAAAAGGGACCAGATAAACACTGTAACTTTATTGAAGATGATCCATTTAATGATGCAGAAGGTAGTCCAATCCATTTAGAAAAGATTCATTCAATATGTTCTGAACTCAGTAATTATCAGATATGTTTTGTGGAACTTGTGGATGCAGAAGTGAATGAGGTGGAAGGTGATGAGTGTCATGAAATGGCAGTAAAGAGAAAAACAGGGGTGATCACTCAGCCACCCCCAGATATGGATGAAACCTATAGTAAATCATGTAGCAATAAAGAAGAGGAGGAGGGAGGAGCTAAAAATTATGTAGAAGATGAAGCTTTAGGAACTGAACACGGTAACAAATGCTTTTTATACGCCCACACATAAAATGGGTGTATATTTTAATCACCCTGTTGGTCCGTCAGTCCGTCTGTTCACATTTGGTTCATGCTCACTCTACAGACTACAATTCTTTACTGATTGTTTAGATTTTGATTTTGTGTGTCAACGACATTATGAAGATGGGCCCTATAGATTTTCTTGATTTCACGGAAATATCGTGTCTGACTTGACATTTCACTCTATTAGCAATATTGTGCAACTCGTGCTCACTCTAGAGGCTACAATTCTTAACAGATTCTTTTATTTTGTTTGTCAATGGATGGATTAAATATTGTATCGGCAAAATTGAACACATTTCAAGAACAAGGGCAATAACTCATACTCAATATTATTCAGTATCGCCCTAAAGAGTTCAGAAGAAATGTATGAATGAAGGTTGAATATTTCATATTGTACTGCTAAATATTTTTATTCAAAATTAAAGCTGCCAGTGGGCGTATATTACCATGCCTGGCAAGCTATCTTTAGTATTAAAATTATTTGGATAATTTCAAATATAGATAATAAGTTGTGCTGCTGAGGTGGCTGTATATCTACTCTAGAGGTCCAAGGTTCAATCCTGGCATAGGATGAATTGATACTTTAAGATTTTTCAATGTGGTTTTTCCCCTGGATGAGAGAAAGCGAGGCCCTGTGGGCCACAGACTTTGTACATTAAAGATCCCTTGTGTCAACACTATTTGTCCTTGGACTTAAGCACCTGATGTTACACTTAGATTGTGATGTTCAAGTTTTCAATTACTCAATGTATATATATATATATATATATATTTTACAGACATGGCTAAAAGTTTAGATAAGGAAGAATTGGATACTGTGACAGATAGGTGAGTTAATGGTGAACAAACACATAATCTGATTGGATTAATCAAAATCAATTTTTAATTTTTGTCCATTCAGTGACAGGGACATTAAATAATATATTCCTTTTTATCAGCTATTGAAGATGTTAATGATTCTTGCAATTCCACTTAAAAAATGTGTTTTATGACGTAGTTATCACAAAGGCCCTTAGATATTTTCACAGTTACATGACTAAGCCTAAATCATAAATAGTTTTAGTGGAATTGCAGGAATCACAGACATGTGACAGAAAATTTGAATTGTCAAAATCAATGCTTTCAGTGTCCTTGATACACATAAAAAGAAATTGCAATCCCTTAACATTTAGCTCACATTAATATCTTTGCTTTGATTTTCAAGGTTACCTCAAGTAGAAGATGATTTACCACTTGGAAGTGAAGGTAACTATAGAATTATTTACTTAACTTTAATTTTTTTGCTCTTGGCATGATTTTTTTGATGTTTTCTAAGACTTGGCATGTTTTTATTATTTGCTTACTTTATTTTATTTGAGAAATTTTCTTTTCGAGCAGTCTAAAAAATATGGGGACTTAAGAGCCCACAAAATTTGTCTGGCATGTATGGAGTAGATGCAAAGGTTATGCAAATTGAAAATTTGAAAAAACATTGCTCTACTTAAGGTTTTACTATTCCACTTCGTTGTTTAATCAAGAAACAGTATCTTCATGACACCTTTTGATTGAGTAAATAAAGAAATTAGAAGCGGACTGTAGTAGAAAACTTGTTAGATCACAATGGAGATGAAAAATAACAAAAAAGACATGACATTGTAATCTAATTATTCATATCATACTGTCCTACAACATACTGATGTACCATAGCCATGGCTGCTTTTCATGAATTTATGGTTTAGTAAATGATATTTTTTAGGCAAAAAATTTAAACTTAAAAAAGGTTTGTAGAAACTGTGGGAAATCTCTAAAAATTTCTTCTTCTTCCTACAAAAATTTCAATCACCTTTCTCTTCTTATTAAAATGGATTTTAAAGAGATTTTCTAAAATGTGTATAGGGCATACTGATAGCATCAATTGCACTATTCAAATTTTAAGTCAGACGTCTGTGGTTCTTGCAATTACACTGAAGTCACTATCACAAAAGCTGCTATATAAAAAGCCCTTTGTGATGGCGAGGTCATAAAACGCATATTTGAAGTAGAATTGCAAGAGCCATATAAGACTGATTAAAAATTGGAATGGTGCAAATTGATGCTATCAGTGACTCCTGATACACATAAACAGAAAACCTTTTTACAATCCCTTTAACATGTTTTAACAAAATTTGAAAATCACACTTAGTCTTTTTATACCAATGGTTTCAGCACTGTAATTAGTATTTAACTCTCTTAACGTGTGCAGCCATTACATGGTTGTGGTGTTTTCATTTAGTTATTAACCAATCTTTCTATATAACAAAAACATTTTCCTCCAATCTTGAGGGTGCTGGTGTCTTTTTGGTAGATTTTATTTTTTTATTGTTATATTCTTTCATAGTATTTCATGTTATGTTTTTAAAGTAATAAAAGACAATTCGATTTCACTTTAAAAATGAAATTTCTAGATCATGGTGCTAAGAAAGAATTATTGATAATTCAGAAGAGTTCATTGAAGATGACTTCAATGATTTACAATCCTTAATGTTAATAGGCCCTAAACTAGGCTTATAATTTAAACCCGGATTTTAGATTATGTCAACAATCTTCAAACACTGTAAAATGGTGTTATAAAGTAAAATATGTTACTTGGTAACTTTTGAATTATAAATTATGTCTACAAGAGAAGTATGTATATGTATATAGCAATTTAAAACAAATTGATACCAGAATGATTAAGGCCAGAAGTGATATGGGTTTGGGAAGTGGTCTAGAGGGATTGAGTGTTACTAGCATACATTTTTGGCTCCCTACAATATGTTAGCTACAGCCCTGACATCACTTTTGATAATATTTGTAATATTTAGTAACATCTTATGTATTTTTCAGCTAACACTTTTGCATCAGAAACAATAGGGTAAGTACTGTACCCTCTAGTCAGACAAAATTGGCCTACCCGTTACTCAGACGTGATATATGTATGAAACATGTTGCTAAAACCGATCTTTTTTTTTTCAGAATTTTCATCATGTTAAATCAATGATACAGTGTCGGATATTTTACTATTTACAGTTTAGGGGTAGGCTTAGTTAATGGAGTTATGAAGAAGGAATATCCTACCCTTGGCTGTTTTGTGGTACCATATAGGACACAGGGACATGGTAAAATATCCAGCAATGTCTTAATGGACTCATTTATGGTTCAGCTTTGTATAGATACCAACATTTATGCAAAATTTGGCATTTAACATGGTGAAAATTCTCAAAAACTAGGGCACATCTGGTCATAAATGTGTTGATATCTCATCTATATATCACGTTGGAGGAACAGGTGTGGCCCAATTTTTTCGGGCTACATACCTTCATGTTATTTCACTTGTTCTCCAATATATCTGACTGATCCCTGAAATACTTATGAAAGATCCCCCAACATATGATATGGGAAATATAAATATTCCACTGCATAATCTTTGACTCACTCCCTCTTATCAATAAGAAGTTGAGACACTGGTTCAATTTATAAAAGTAGAAAAAACCTTTGTTGAAAGTAAATCACATAGTCTGGTTCATATTCATCCAACTGTGTGTAGAAAAGTAATAAACAAATTTGCTTGACAATTGCTTCTGTGAATCTAATATATATCCTAAATTATGACCAAATTTATTCTTTAATCATCCAAAATACAATAACTAATTTGATGCCACTTAATAACCAGTTATCTGACATGCCTGGAATATGCCAAGATATAAATAGATGATAATATTTAATGGTAGTTAGATCAGATTTATTATCTTGTTATTGTTTGGTCATTGATATTGCCAAAACATTTTGGCTGTGTCTAGTCCTTGATAGATCATTAGATATTATGATAATCATATTGCTTGTGTACTCTATACCATGTACTCGATGCATTTGATAATCTGATTCTTCTGAACTGATATTTTCCTAGGTACGTTGGTTTATAGAGCCTCATTGTATAAATATAATTGTGTTCATGGATAAAGTAGCGTCATATATTTTGAGCAGACAGTTTGTATTAGCTTATGTACAATCCAATCACATCACAGTATAAACAAACTTCTGTGATAAAAGGTAACTATTGCAGTCAAGGTATAAGACAAAGTTTGTAATAGCCTGATATTATGAAGACCCAGCTATCAATGATTATTATTTCAGGAGTAAGCTGAATATGTTGATAGATAAAAGATTGGCAATGTTAAGATCTTCACCTCAAGGAGTCAGCTTTGATTCTAACAATACCAGTTCCTCTAGTATCAATAGGTAAGTAGGAAAATACCGGTATTTCTAATAGAAGATCTGTGAGGGCAGTGTGGCATATATCACTAATAAACATTGGGATAATTGGATTTAAATGTTCCATTCCCGAAAAACTCGACTGATTTCAGTGTTCTAATTTATCTGATTGGTCGATAACTAAAAACTAAAATTGATTTTTAATTTAATTCTATTATCCAATCTGATTTCTGCATTTCTTAAAATCTTGGATTTATCGTTGTAAAGTTTTCAAGAATAAGGTCCAAGATCTTTAGAATTTCTACTGAACATGGAAATTTTCTTTTTTCAGTGTTGATATGCTTCTTCGAGAACGCAGTGAAGATCCTGAACAAGTTCTTCTAAATCTGGGCTTTGGTGGAAGTTTAAACCAAGACATGGGAAGCACTTATAATCGAATACCAGAAAGATTCCTGCTTACTAATTCTCGTGCCAAGGGAATTAATTTGGAAGAATTCCTGGAAGACAATCCTGAGCTGAAGACTTTTGTGGGAACGTTGAAGAAGAAGGGATCTCGTTCAGGTCAGTCCATATTATGTAATAGCAATAATAACAACTCTAACAATAACGTTAATTGTTGTCATGAAGCTTCCATTTTAGAAGTTGAACCAGAATTTTTAAATATGTTGGCAACCAAGGTGCCACCTCAATATTGGGAGATGGATCAAAACCTATGTACCACAAATGTTCCAAAAAGTCAAATATTTTTTTATTCGACGTACTCTGACAGTTCACCAGACGACATCAATAACAATGTGAGTGAAATTACCTCCATTAATGGAGAGGAGAGAAACGAAGATATAGAAATGGAAGAAGAAGATGCTTTAAGGGATGGAGTTCAACCTCTTTCGGAACTTCCATCTGAATTATCTTCTGCTTGTTGTCATGGTGACGGTGGATCAACCTCTGGTTCTTCAATAACTTACGACATTTATGACATCGAACTTGATGAAAATGAAACAATTGTTTAAATCATTTGCTAAATTTTTGATAAGCTGTAGAAATAAATCTCCATTTTTTTAATTCTTTAGTTTTAAAGCAAAGTATTTATTCATCCACTTTTTTCTGAATTGCTCATATAATGGGAACAAATTTTGGAGATCAAAATTTCAGGTCTTTTGATTCATGCCAGAAATGATTATTAGGTCCATAAAGCATTAGAAAAATGATGAATCATTTAATTGGCACGTTGACATTATTGTTATAGGGCAATTCTTTCTCAAATGTTTCGATTGAGTGAGAAAAAAATTGTGCCATAATTTGTCTAAGAGTTGAATGAAAATCTTTCTATTTAGTGAATTTCTAAATATTGAATTTTGAATCATTTTCTTCGCTTGATAAGGGACCTATTCTTTTATGTGAAGTGAAGTCTAAATGATGTAATAATCATTTCTCTTAATCAGAAAGAATCAATTTACAGGATTTATGATATCACCAGATCAATATAATTATTATTTTTGTTCATGTTATCTACACTTTCTATCCATGATCTGAACAGATTTGTCATTCTGCTGTCTTTTGATCCAAAGGCATCAAAAGTTATGCTATCCATACAAAAACACAATAAATGTGTTTAGATTATATGAAAATAGTTTATGATCAAAGCATCTGATTGGTTAATTACATGACCTCAAATATGAATTGTATGAAATTTTGCCAGATCATGTTTGGCAAGTGAAGTTTTGTAGAGAAAACATTCAGAGTTACAATCAGATTGAAACTAACATATAAGCTAATGTTGCACCATTTTTTTGGATCAAAAAAGGGTAATAAGCTCTACTGGTGGTACATTGGTCAGAGATTTTTTTAGCCCACAAAGCTGATTTTCTGGTTAAACTGCTGCCTAAATAAGGCCAAATTTGTTATTGTTATTTAATATTCCTTTATTTTCTATGCAGGGAACTTGCAATGTATAATATAATTATATTTGTTACTTTGACTGCCAAATTTTGGTTTGTTGCTCTTAGTGTCATTTGTTATCTTCAAAGTGTTATAATGTCAGTATTTTTGTCTAAAACTTTTTAAGATATGAACTAGTATTATATAGTTATAAAATATATATCGTTTTGACTGGACCAGAGCTTATCTCATCCCATATTATGTAGTTGATAAGAGTTCATCTTGACACAAACACATGTTGAAGAGTAACATCTTCAAAAAACAATTTTAATCATGCTGCAAACATATGTTTTTGAGGCAAAACAATCTTTCAAAAACATTTTTAATCATGCTGCAAACATGTGTTGAATGGGAAAGCCATCATAATAAAGTGAATTTAATCATGCTACATGTGTTTAAGGGGAAAGTCATCTTTAAAACTAATCTATTATTTGAATCATGTTGCAAGCATGTGTTGAAGGCCATCTTTAAAACGGACTGTTATAATGCTGTGAACATGTGTTGAAGGTAAACCCATCTTTCAAAAATGATTTTTATCATGTTGCAAACATGTGTTGGACGGAAAGCCATGCCTTGAATCTTGCTGCGAACACCTGTTGAATAGGAAAGCCATCTTTAAATACCGATTTTTATAATGCTGTGAACACGTGTTCAAGGGGAAAGCTTTCTTTAAAAACCATATTTTAATGATGTTACGTAAGGGGAAAGCGATCTTAAAAACTGACTTTAATCATGCCTCAAACACATGTTAATGGGGAGCTATCTTTTAGAAATTGATTTTAATCATGCTGCAAACGTGTTAAAGGGAAAACCATCTTAAAAAACGATTTTAATCATGCTGCAAACGTGTTTTGTAGGGAAAGTCATTTTTAAAAACTGACTTTAATCATGCTGCAAACACGTGTTAAAGGGGAGCTATCTTTTAAAAACTGATTTTATAAATCAAACTGTGATAAGATAGAAATTTAAGATTAAATTTTTCCTGGTTGTTATCTGAAAAAAATGCTGTAGTTCAGTGAAACAGTGTTTTTATGTTGTTACAAACTAATAACATATTTAAAAAGGTAATGTTGTCTTCCTTTTTTATAATGAAAAATGAATTATTTATGTGATTAATCAACATTATAGTTGAATGTCAAAAGGATAGCTGTTTAAACATAAATATGCATAATCAGCTTATAAAATACATATGAACAACCATTTTGTCGAAAATCAAATTGGCTGGATGTGGCATAAGAAATTTTCCTGAATTTGAATTTTAACATTGCTAAGTTTAAAGAAAAAAATAGTAATACAAATATTGTTCTCAACTACTTCGTAGCGTCCCGATTGATTAGTTCCATCAATTTGAATTCTGTCTACACCTACTATTTTTTTGTCATGGGTGGGATTCATTTTTAAAATTATATGATACAGTACTCTGTTTCACTTATTTTATTGATTAAATAATTTTCTAATTTGTTAGTCAACTATACTATTACGATTTATATACATTTTGCTCAAAATTATTATTATTGTCTGCATTGTTGTAATTGTTGGTTGATTTATTTTGCCTTTCTGCTTTTCTTTGTTTGTTTTTGGTAATTGAAACCAAGAAAGTTCCTGTCAATTTTCCACAAGTATTTTCACAATGTCAAGGCATTACGAACAGTATCTTAATAATACCTTGACATCATTAACACTCTTTTGTTTGACGGTTGTACTACATCTGTCTGCAAGCATTAAATTTACAATTAATGAAATTTACAGCCAATCAAATTCTATACAATTTTTTGACAGTTTTTCTGTCATGAGCTGTGATTGGCTGTATTTGCTTGCATACGAATCAATCAAAATCCTGCATTTATAAATTTTGGTAATACAAGAAAAATGTCTAGTGGTGTCAAGGTATCAGATGAAGTTTGATACAAAAAAATTGTTGAAGGCAAAAACCTTAAAAATTATCAGGCAATATTTTAGCCATAAAAGCTCCCAAAGAAGTAGGCAAAACAAACCAACCCTATAAATTGTATGTATTGTTTTGTATATAATTGCTAATTGCATCTTGTAACAATTTGAAACATTATTATGGTTGTGATAGAGCACATATACTTGTGCCATGTTGTTATAGAATATTTGCTTCTTTATGTCATTGTGAAAGATTGTTCCCACAACTTCTAGAATCTTATGGCATTTTAGAAGCACAAGTTATAGAAATATTTAACAATTATTATTGATGGATACTTCTATAATATCTATTATTTCAAACTTCTCAATGTGGTTCTCACACTGTCATCAGGAATATAATGATTTAAGTTCAAAATTTCAATGTGTTTCTCATACCCTCATCAGGAATTATAATGATTTATGTTCAATATTTCAATGTGGTTCTCACACAGTCATCAGGAATTATAATGATTTATGTTCAATATTTCAATGTGGTTCTCATTGTTTCAACATAAATTTAATTTCAACGTGGTTTCCAATGTGGTCTAACACACTGTCATCAGAAAATAATGATTTATGTTCAAAATAGTTCCCCTTAGAATTATGCAATGGATTCTTCAACATCAAATTTACCTTCATTTGTGATGATCTCTTATTTTATTGTTAAGCATACGTTGGACCAATTATTTTATAGACCAGTTTTTTGGAGGCTTTTGATAAAAATGATGAGGTGTCCATTACAGTGTTCAGTTTACAGTGCCATATTATCGATACAGTAGAAAATAGAAGGAGCAAATAAACAAGCTACCCCAGATGATGGGGTTCTTCTATTTTCTATTTTATCAACAATTCCGCACCAGGCACCCTACCGCGTCAATTCTCATCTTTAGATTTCTCTCACTTCAAATGTATAAACTTATTATAAGAATGAAAATTTTGAAATATAATATGATTTTACAATGATTCAAAGATATTATTACTATAGAAGGATTCAAATATTCAAAGATATTTTGGCTCACTACTTATTGTCCTCAAAACAAATCTGAGTCTCGACTTCAAAACAAGAATGCGTTTTTTTGCGTTTTTTTTTTTTTAGTATACTCGATTGGTCCATTCATTGGTTAGAGTGGTTGTTAAAACATTACAATAATAATTACAAAGGCATAGACTGAGGAAAGATATTAAGTAAATGTTTATTCAAAATTTATTTAAATGTGATTCAACTTCTGGTGTAGCCAAAAAGGAGGATGCTTTCATTAAAAATGGAAACTTTAGATGAACTAACTTGATAATTTTAACTAAGGCTAATGAACTTATGTGCCAAAATAGTGTTGCTTATATTATGTGTATATGAACTTTTTTCATGTATGTATATGAACTTATTTTTAATAGTACATAACTGCTACAATGTACATAGGGCTCACTTAGTATTACTTATAGTCGAGCGAAGATATTTGTGCAATATATAAACACTAGCAGTTCTCTTTATTACTATACAGAATATAACTTAGACCAAACTTTCCTTCTGTTTTGATGAGCTTTTATTTTTAATTTAACCAATTCAGGGACTAATGATGGTCCTCGTAAACATTCATCTTTTTGATGACACTGCAAGCTTATCAAATTTCTTCTCCCTTCAACATTAGGATGCTAACAAAAGGTTGTCTTAATTTTAGTTAGGTAGTTTATGTTATAAATCAGACCCAGATGTGCACAAATATCTTTACTCAAGTATACCTACTATATTTGTTATTGTTATTAGAAATTGTTATTGTTATTACCTTTTATTGTTATCAATTACTTCTATTAAATACTCAAATTATACATTTATCTTCATTATGAAATATATTTTACTTGTCACATAAACACAGCTCTATTTGTATTATCCATGATCTGATGAAATTCTTCTTTACGTCATGTTCATTTGAGTTATAAGTTGGCTTACAAAACAATGAATATCCTACAATTTCATCAGATCATGGTTGGAAAGTGGAGTGGAAGGATTTAACTAATACTTTTGCGAAAATTGCGAATAATATCTTTGACATCATAAAATACATAGTTTTAGTGCTATTGCAAGAACCACAGACATCTAACTGAAAATTGAAATGGTGCAAGTCGATGCCATTGGTGTTCCCAATAGACATAAGCTAAGAAAACCTTTTTGCAATCCCTTTAAGTCTCAAATACCCCAGAAAGCCCTTGTAGGTTTGGAATCTTAACACAAAAAAGGTAGGTTTGCATGAATCTGTGGTATTTTAGAAACCTTAGTTTTTGCCTTTTTGCACAAATGTTGCTCAGTGTTGTTTGGAATGTATTATTGTGTAATGTATTTTGAGTGATTTTTAGCAGTTTTTGAATATTGTGCTTTTTTTTTATTTTAAGTAGTTAGTTTTGAGAATATTGATGTTGATTCCTTCTTTTTCTATTTTGTTATAAAGGTCCACCATTTCGGGGTTGATTTGGGCCTTGAATATATGAAACACAATTCCTTAAAAATACCTAAGACTAAAATTTTTACTATTTATTTTTTCTTTCACTGGTTTAATCTCTGCCTGAAAATTGGAGCATCTGAAAGTATTTTGTCTTGTTAATAAGGCTCAGGAAATATGGTTTGCAGATACATTTTCTCTCCGTTTCTGAGACCAATGGACTTCTGAAAATGGTGAACCATGGTTTTTAAACATCAATTATTTTTGCTCTAACAATTTTAGAATTACTGATGTTTTGTACAGAAGTTCCCCTTGCTTTTATTTAGGTTTAATTGTCTTCATCCAGAAAACTTTTAGACAATCAGATTGGTTTTAGCTTTTAAATCTAACACAAATCCAATTTATATGATCTAACCTATAATTAAAATTGAATTTTGTTGATAAAACCATGCTCAGTCTGTAAGCTTACATTTCATAAGCTAATTTGCAAGAACATTTTCTGGACAATTTTGACAAGGGAAGAAATTTGATTGGCTGAAAGAAAGTTTTATAGAGAAGTTGTTAAACCCAAACTGGAGTGGTTTAGTAACAATAAAAGTTGATAAAAACTCTGAACAAAGACTGCCTTGTAAAAAATATTTCCTTCTTTCATTATTTCAACTTGAGTTTTATCACATGGTAAAGCAAGTATATTAATAACTTGTATTATTTTAAGCACTATTTGCATTTTGTTGGGATTTTTTTTGTATATATATTTGATACTTGTCTGATTTTGGTAGATCACATCAACACACTTTAAAAAACTTGGATGAATGGATTCCTTTTTTACTCTCTGTGACTCTACCACATAGCACATTTTGGGGTACCCTGACAAATCTGGCTCCATAGATGTGATATACAGATGTGATTTGGTCACAGGACAGACATAAAATTTCACTTTTTATAAGACAAGTATCTGATCCATTTTTGGATAGCAATAGTATATTACGTCTAAGGAACGTTAGAGTTTGCATTACTTTTTTTGAAACTCACAATCCCATTCACATAGAAATAATCAGTAAAATTTAATAGACAAATTCATATAAAGTAATATGCATTCAGTGTATATTTTTATGGGTTGTATGTGTGTGCTTTGTGTTGTGTTGTGTTGTGTTGTTATTGCTCTGAAAAGTATATAGTTGTTTTATTACTCAGTTTTCCTGAGTATAAATCTTATTTCAAACTAATTTCAACTCTTTATCAGTAGTAATAATCTGATGCTTTATTTCTTTTTTAATTGCGCCTCCAATGAAAGTCATATTTCTGTTTTGGAAAGTGCTATGGGAAACTGAAATTAAATTCAGCTATTAAAAAGACATTTGACTATACACTATACCTTTGAAAGAATATGCCAAGTATAGCTTGCTTCCAGCTTGCAAAATTAAAACAATAGATAGTCATAAAAATTGTGAAATTCTTATTTCACTTACGGTAAAACTTCATGTTAGATATTTTATTCTAGATTCTTTTACAAAAAGCTTAAAATCATCTGTTGTCAAAACATTGGAAAAGATGTGGGTGATCTTTCTATTTATAGCACTATGACGTTGGTATTGATGTCAATATTCAATATAAAACATGCTATACAAACAACAGATCAATCACTGGCTCCAAAGAAGGAAGGGAGAATGGGCCAGGTAATCCCCTGCCCAAAAATACCCCCCCTAGGTGCTCATAGACTGGCTTCATTGTAAAGATTTTGGCATAAAAACCCCCCACCCCCTTCTCTGTAGCCGCCACTGAGATCAATTCCTCTCAATATCTACCATTGTTACATTAATTCTATATCTAAACCTATTTTAAACTACCACCTGGTAGATATATATATATGTATATAATATAAGATGAATAAAGCCATGAATATTGATTAGATACATGTAAACTACATTTTTATAGGATATTAATACATCAAAATTTCTTTTCATGTAGGTGCGTGGAAAGCAGCCAGATCAATGTCGACCGTCATAAATCAGTTAAGATTGTCGTTGACAGCGTCAAGACAGAAAGCTGTTGCTCAGTCTGACGTCCAAGATGATTATCCTAAATCCATCCTCATACCAGAGAACCAACGAGCCTTAGCCGCCCAGGGATTTTACACACAACATCTTGGATTCAAACAAAAGCCCGGTCAAAGTTCAAATTCAGGTAAGTTATATAAAGATGTAATAACAAAAAAGCTGTTCATCATCTTAAGCTGACGTGGAAAAAGTAAGAGTGAAATATGTTAACCGCTGAGACTCTGCTTTCACATTTGATACTTTTGTTAAGTAAGTAGAAACTTGTTGGTTGGTTTATTGATACTTTGCTTGTGACGTTACACAAGAATATAAGTAAGGTTTTAGAAATGAGCCACAGCTTATACTAATTTCCTGCTTATATCTTTTCTTATGGAAGTTGTTGACAGGTAATCATCTGAGTTGGATTTTTGTTGTTGTTAATATCTGTCATTACATTAACTGGGGTTGGAATAAAGTTTGAATTTTTTCCAATTTTTGCGATTTATTTCAGAAACTCCCAAGTTAACTGAAGAACAGCTGAAATCACATACTGAGGCTGAAAATAACAAATTCCAGGATGCAGCTGCCAAACGCAAAATGTTCCAAAAAACACATTCCAAAAAATGGAGTTTAGTGAAAGATAGATGTGAAGATGAGAATGAAGACTCTTCAGCCAGTTTTGATTATAGCAGGAGTATGGATTTCAGTACCTCAAATTCCATGGATAGTTCTGATAACCCATTTAGTCCAGACATCCACACATCTTCCATTTCAGACTTGAGACGCCAAATAGACTTAGACATTACTAAGAAAATGGAGGATGCTTATTTTCCATTCGACATAAACAGTTGTGAAAATGTTGGTATTAGTGAACTACGTAAACATCATGTGGATAGGTTAAGTCTTGATGAGGATGACGGTGATTATTCAGTGTCGCCACCTATATCAAAACAATCCACAGTGGAACGCGTGAAGACCTTATCTTCTGGTTCTGCTCAAGGAGGACCAGTCGATCATGTGAAAATAGTTGTGTCACAAGATATTGACAATGAAAATGTGTTTGAGGGTGATGGAATCAAACCAGAACATAAGACTGAGTTGGAAAATATGCAATATTTAAGTATTGGATCCGTGGGAAGTGATCGTCTGTCAGACACAGAGTCGTCTTCAGATCATACCGTGGTTGATAAAGCTTCTAGTCTCGATAGTCCTGATATCATTGAAAATAATCAAAATCACATTAAATTCCCTCCCTCGTCTTCCAACCAGTATCATGAAAATGTAGCAGAAGCTAAATCTGTACCAGATGAAAATGATAATTTGATCTGTTTTGTTAGGGTGAGTTAATGTTATTTACACCACATCACATTGAAGGTATAGTCAAAAAGAGATATGTATGCATGTAGTATTTGTTTTTGTCACAATGCTATACAGACAGGTAACTCGGCCAGTCCTTGTGTATAAGGATTGTGACCTTAACAATTATTTCATTTCATATGAAGGAAATGTGTCTATGGGCTTGTTTATGATTCTGTTAGAAAAATAAAAACTACAATTGATAATTATATCATGTGATGATAGACTATATAATGGGTATCGACAATAATCAACAAAGAACAACACTATTAGTAATAGCAGTTGAAGCTAACACAAAGGCAACTGCTTCTGCACTGGCTATGGCATGATTTTTTTTCTTACCTTGAGGAAGCTGTGAACCAACAGTTGAGTTGAGCTATTCCAATGCCGCTGTTTGATAAAAAAAAAACATGTTTACAATTTTTTCCAGGCACCAATAAATCAAGAAACACCAGGCAGTCATTACTCTCCAGTTCATGGAGGTAGGAATACTCCAATATTGTTCCATAATTTTTATTGTTTTCTGAAATCCCAATCTTACTTTTGATTTTATTTTCCAATGAAATGAATTAAATTGACAGATGTTAAAAATGTTATAACAGTTCAACAGTTTTGACATTCTTTGGGGATTAGTGGTAAGAGTTCCCTTTATGCAGTTGATCTGCCTTAACTGTCAGTGTGATAAATATACCACTTTTGAGATTTTTTTTCTCATTGACATTGCTTCTGTTGCCATGTAGGTGTTTATATTAAAGTTACAAGATATTTTCACCGTTAAAATAGTAAAATAATCTTAGACATCAAGATAGAAATATTAAAACATATTATATAATGAAAACCTGATACATGTTGTTACTCAGAATTTCGCTCTGTGCCATCTTCAGACAAATCTTCTTTATAAGCTGTATAAGTCAGATATCAACATGTTTCAGATTCTGTTTTAATATTTCTATATATCTGGGTGTTTGTGATATAAAGTAACTATTATGATGTATATTACAGAAGACCTGTCAAGGATGGGTAGTCTACAGTCAGATAGTAGTGGGTTTGGTGATGCTGAATATGGTGCTGATGGAACTCCCCATGAATCAGAACTCTTGAAGGTAAGATAATTGATCATTTACCGGAATCTCTAATCTAGTTATGAGATTTTTGCCTGAAAAACTTGCTTTGGTGTATCGGTTTCTTCTAACATCTACCATATTAATAATCCCTCACTGTATATTGGACCGGACACACCCTACCGCTTCTTTTCCCAAGTATTATACTTGTATAATATTGTCTTTCCTTTCAGTTCTCTAATCCCGGCAGTTCAGGAAGTAGTTGTGAGAGTGCTGCCACTCTAGCCAGTAGTGTTTCAACTATATTGTCTCGTGATCTAGACAAACACAATTCACAATTCTCTCTGGACGAGGGAGACATTCTTAGTCAAATGCCAACTTTCTCGTGGCAATCAGGACCTTCATGGAAAGATGAGATAAACGAAGACCTACAATCCAAACCAAAACAAACTTACATTTCGACATGTTATATTCCAATAGCTGGCAAGAATTTTAGACAACCATATTCCATGTTTCACCGTCCAGAAATCAAAGCTGTAGACAATCATGTTTCAATTTTAGTCACAAATGCCAGCGTGGAGCGCAGCGAGGCACGAACTTGTGAAACACGAGAAACTGTGTATAAAGATAGTAGATTGGAACCTCCAGTGCGGGAGAGCATATTTAAAGAATTGATGTCACCTAGCAACAGTTCAATAGCAGCCAATAGTGATGGTTATCTGTCTTCACCAGAGCTTGGTTTCGGGCACAGTTGGAAAAAAACTGGATATCACCGATCACAATTCTCCAAATCACGTTTTAGATATGGATCTGGAGATTCAATTTTGTCTGAAAGTGATTATTCGTATTGTTCCACGCCTGATAGTATTGCTAGCTGTAACCGAGGAGATATGATGGATTATCATAAATTAATTAAGTTGATAAATCAACCAGTGAATATACAGGGTTACAAACGAAGCATTATTCAATATAAACCCAAAAAACATGTCAAAGAATGGAATAATTTATTACGCAAAAAAGTAAGTTGGCTTCTTTGATAGTTACCAAATCGGATTAAAGCACAATATCTGCTTACAAAAATAATAAAAATTTGTTGCCAAAGTTTAGCTTGAGAAATGCCATTCAAGTTTTTCAAATGTGAAATGGGAGCCATTTCTACATACTTTGTTTCTGATATAATTTCTTGTATTCTGTTATACAAGAGTTTTCATTATCAGCGTTTTTCATGCATTGTTACATGATTATTATGTGTTATTTTTTTAGAGGTTACAAGAAGAAACATGTATGTTACAATACGCCATACAGAAATATAAAACAGAGTTACATTCCCTTGAAACTGCTTTCATGGTTCAGTTTCAACAAGCTTATGAAGAACTTTCGGAAGAAGAAAGGTAAGCTGTTTTTTTTTTAAACTGGTTATGTATACATGTATGCGGGACACCGATAGAATTAACTTACACCATTCTGATTTTCAGACAAACATCTGCAATTCCATTAAATATAAGCTTTTTGTGACATCACTATTGCAAAGGCCTGTAGATAATATTAGTTTTTAGAGTTTAGAAAACCTCTTTACAATCCCTTTAAGTATATTAAAAGTTTGCATGCAGGACTCATCAGCTCTGTAAGGATCCCATGGTAACTGAATTTGGACTTTACTTCTGAAAAGTCATGAATTCATTAAATTCACTTGCCTCTTGATGCCTTTGGGGTGGACATCAGACTGACTCTTGGAATCTCTGGCCATGACTTTATGTTCTGTAAATTTGGTTCTGATTTGTAAACTCTGTTTTATTTAACAGGGATGAAGTGGAAGAGTTACAACATTTATGGACAGCTATACATCAACAATTATTAGAAACAGAACGTTTACTATCCCAGAGGTTGAAAAAAATTAGTAGTGGCAATGATTTCTTTACCTATATCTCATCATTAAGTGTTTTACAAAGGGTATGTGTTTATTATTATTAACATGAAACTTTGATTAAGTGAAACACATCAAAATCAGCTGCTTTGCACAATTGAGACCAGAGTTTTCATCTGATTTGAAGAAGTTAAGAATAGCTAACTTTGCCAAATATTCCCATTTGGCCCATGTTTTGGACTTTTCCTACTCTTTGGACCCCAGGGGCCCGGAAAAACACTTAAAACCCAATTAAAAACAATTAGAGAGAAAAAATAGAATTTTTTTAGTTACAAGCGACCACTGCACGAAATGTGCTTAGACACAAATAAATTTTTATCTTGCAAAGTTACAAAGCTACAAAGCTGAAATTTTGCAGACATATGCACGTGGACCATCCAGACATTGCGAAAAAAACCGAACTGAAAAATCTCCCATAGGGAAAAAGTTAGCTCGGGAAAAGTTGCCAACATTCTGCTCTTATAGGCCATATAGAAGGAAAACGTCCAATAGCTAACTTTGCCAAATATTCCCATTTGGCCCATGTTTTGGACTTTTCCTACTCTTTGGACCCCAGGGGCCCGGAAAAACACTTAATACCCAATTAAAAACAATTAGAGAAAAAATTAAGAGAATTTTTTTAGTTACTAGCGACCACTGCACGAAATGTGCTTACACACAAATAAATTTTTATCTTGCAAAGTTACAAAGCTGAAATTTTGCAGACATATGCACGTGGACCATCCGGACATTGCGAAAAAAACGAACTGAAAAATCTCCCATAGGGAAAAAGTTAGCTTATTTGGATTGATAAAATATTTGTTACGTTTGAGGTTTATGATGCTTTAATAAACAGTTTTAGAGTTATTTCCCCTGACTTAGTGAAAAATGTAAAAATGAGCTTGTTGCACAAATAGAAGCTGGAGATTTGAACTAATTGGGATGAAACTTCTTAGTGTAGATTGATGTTGACAATGAAACATTAATTTGATCAAAATACATGTATATGTGTTTTTGACCATGAAAAACCTTATTACTTCATGAGCATCTGTTGGTGTACATTTAGGTTCAATTCAAACAAGAGTAGTCTATTTTGTTTTGGGGTAGGACAAGTAATACTCGCTGTTTAATCAGACTTATATTGTAAATATAACTAGACTGCTTCTGTTAGACATGGATGTGCATAAATTTCTCAACACGACTATATCTGGAATGGCAAGCAAACCTTCATTAATCAAGTTCAAGAGTGATAACTCTTTTATGTGTCAAACTTTTCTGAATCTGCCCAAATTTCAATGTGTCACTCGATTCATTAGTTCTGAACCGGTTCTTGCTTTAATCCCATACTGATGTTGAAATTTTTTCAGATGATATTGTTATTAAGAGAACAGTTATATCAACAACAGATAACAGTAGGTAAAGAAGATGTTGAAGTTGTTCATCAACCTGCCCAGCTTCCTTTATTTAAATCACAGAGTTGTTTAGGGTTAAATCTACCACCACCCTTCACTTCATCTTACCATAACCCTACCCTAGTACCTTCTCGAGTGGGACACAGTTTAGAAGAGGTTATTTCCCTTTTTATTTTCTTTGCTTTTGAATTATTGAAGGTGCTTGATTGGTTAGTTCTGAACAGGTTTAGCCTGTTTTTCAATTCTAGGCGTCTATGAACATTACGGAACCAGATTATGTCATATTCGAATTTTTCCAATCCATACCTTCTCTACCATTTTGAATTCTGTCTGCACCAACTATTTTTTGGGCACACATGGAACGCATTCTGATTGATTCCATGTATCCTGAACATGCAGAACAACCAATCAAGCGGTCTCATGTATTAATGTTAATTAACGCTATACCAGTTGAGGATTTGGAACATCATGATTTCAAAAAGAAATTTCAATTCAATTGGCTGACCTTTTGTTTTGCTTTATTGTTTTATTTGATCTATTTGTATGGAATGCAGGTGAAAGGGAATTTATGTTGTTGATTCTAATCTGTTGCTTAACTTAACCTGACCAACCAGTGTTCAATCAGGGCATAGGTCAAGATATACCTTTGGATTTTTCAAACCGTGTCCCTAAGAGTGAAGCAGTCTCAGGGACTGACATTTATAGGTGAATTATTTGACATAAATCATGAAAAAAATCGGCTACAGTTGTAAACCACATGAGAAAATGTCCTGGGTCAGAAAAAATCAAAATATCTGTTTTTAAATTATAAAATTTCACAATGTTTTTCTCTTTTAGAGGTATTTTTTTATTTTGAACTATTATTGTCTGGGAAGAAAAGTCACTCTATTTCATTTCATGAGCCCTTGTATTAATTTTCAGCTACGTGATTCAATAATAAAGGATGTACGAGAGGAGATAGACAAAAGTACACAAAATCTTCATTCAGATATGAAGGTAAGCTTTCAGTAAAATTCACAGTATATTGCAGTTTGTTTCAATGATATGAAGTGTCTGGACTATAAAAGACATAGTCAAAATTTGACAGTCTCATAAGCTTTATCATCCGGTCCCTCTTAGTGGGCACACATCTGTGACAAAGGCTTAGAACAGTGGCAGTGGTCTCGGCTTATAATTGAAATTAAAATGAGAGCGTCAGTAATTTTTGCTATAGCTTCAGATAATTTTAAGCTTGAAGACTTATATTTGTAATATTAAAGGACAAAATGATTTTATGGGGGTTGCAATGCCAAAGTGTTTGCGTTTCTTTTATCAGGAGGAAAATGTGAATAATTCATGACTCATACTGTAGATATTAACATAGATATGATTTTTATTTTAAACAGAGTAAAGAAGAAGAAATCCAGAGATTACAGTTTGAATTAATGGTGGAGAAATATAGAAAAGAAGATAATCATAATTCTGTTGTAGAAACTGATGTTTAAATTCCAAAATATATTTACAAGGCCAGTCATCTACTTGACACCCCCTAGACTTTTATTGAACTCATCCACACATGCATTCTTCAAATCAACAAGAAACTGTACACAAGCTCACATGTTTCTTGTTGTTGTTAAATCCATTCCAAAAGATATAAGTACAAGGCTGAATATAATGTCATCTATACACCCCAAGACTTTCTATTGAACTCTTCAACCCATGCATACCTTTCATCAATAAATGACCTAATATCTATGATTGGAAGAGCTTACCTGTAAAATTAGGGGTGTTTTCTGTTACCTGTCAAATTAAATTCATTCCAAATATATTCAGTAATATGTGCATTACATAAGAGAAATCATAATATTTTAATGGTGCTGATTATACATCTAGATTATTCTATGTCTGAGAATCTCTGACCCTGTCCCAGTGGTAAGGTTTCTTAGACTAGGTTCTTATATATAATTTTGTTAAAATTATTGCCATATTTTGTGAACAATTTGTCAAAAATCGAATTCAAAATTCTCTCATCAGATTATAATGATTTTCATAATTGTTACAAGATGATTTGAAAGTTAAAATTGATTAAGAAATGGAAAATACTGCAACTGTAAAGCTTTGGTATTAAAATATTGCTATAAATATTATAACTTTGATGTTTCCAATGAACCTTATAAATTATGGTTTACAATATTTTCATTCCTTTTCAAGTTTATTATCTGACATTTCATTTGTCAGATTCATTTTTAGAATTAGAATTTTTCATTTCTGACATATTTTTATATTTGTCAGATTTTTTCATATCTAAATTCGACATATATAATTATATTTGTCATTCATAGAATTAGATATATGTGTGATAAGTACTTATATAGCATTTTTATATTATCTTGTTTAGAAAAAAGAAAAATAATCTAAGTGAGAACATGAAGCATTTCTTTTTAACTTTTAAATTTCATGAAAAATTATAACCTGTGAATTTTAAGCATAAGCAAAATTCGTTTCTAGTCTATAAAAGCTGCCTCAAAATACTACTGCAATCTTTATTCAATGCTTTGTTATGATAATATTATTCCTTATTTGATTATTGTTAAAATGTAAGAGTTATCTCAAATATAGTGTGGTAGACAAAAAATCAAAATAAACTACTATATGTAAATTTATTGTGATAGAAATAGGTAGTTGAACAATGGCATCTCATGTTTCTGAAGGTTTGTTTTATTAGGTTTAGCCAAGCAAAGTATTTATGCACATCTGAGAGTGATTCAAAACTTAACCATAGAACAGTCCACTATGGTTGGTTGTTAAATGACTGTTTTGAATGAACCTGATATAATTGAGCAAAGATATTTCAATTCCAATTCAAAACACAAGCAGCCCATTTTACTTGTAGGTAAATTAGATAGAAATTTAAACTATTCAGACTAAGCTTACATTGTCATGATTACTACTTACAATACCTGAAAATAAAATGGACTGCTTATGTTTATGTTTTGAAAGAGCACAACAGTAAATGGAGCCATAGGATGATGCTAAATTAAGATGAATATTGTTGATATATGTTTATTAATAATTGTATTTTTTTTATTTATTTATCTATCTATATATATATAAAATATATTGATCGTTCAAACATCATATTGAAACATTTAACTAAATAATACCATATTCTTATTTTTATAAATAATAATCCTCCACTTTCTCAGTTTAAAATAATAGCTTTGGAAGTTTGTGGGATTTCTTGTCCACAACCCTGTTAGTGATACATGTCTTAGGGGGTGTCTTGGCAAAATAGACCCCACTCCTTGAATTATCTGATTCATTCAATGTTTATAATTCGTCGTCGAAATACCATTAAATGGTGATTTGTGCCACTTTTGGACCGTACAACCTTTTCACAGGGTTTGTTGGATTGCTGTATTAACAACAGTATCACAATATAGAATACAATACCCGTAGTGACGTATTATATTATTATTATTATTATTTTGTCATGTCAGCCAATTTCGCTTTTTGGCAACGAAAAGGTGCTTCAACTTTATTAACCAGCCTAATGTGAAAGTACCACCAGCGCTGTGTAACATTTTCGGATGTACGGAAATTGCCGAATGGAGTATTAATAGTACAATCTGTTATAAATAAAAATATATCATGTATTTATTAATCCAATTTCATGTAAATTATTCAAATAATACTAAATTATACATATATAGGATATATAGTATCAAAACTATAAAACATAATAATATTAAAAATGTAAAAATATGTTAATCGCCATATTAAGCTAATGAATATAAGGAACAGTCTTTTCTCGAAAACTTAACTACGAAAAGATTTAGATTTCAAGAAATACATTAATCTCATTGGATATTTAAACTACATTTAAGTGACTGACCAATTAGAAATACTAAAACTTTAGTTAAGTTGTGGAGAATAAGGCCCCAGAACATTGACAGTAATAAAAATCACCGTGGTTCTAATTCAAATACACCCAACCTAATTCTTGCATCAGGGAAAGTTCTTGAATTTATACTTTTCTTTCTTGTTTTTGGTTCCTCCTGGTGAAACGTTGGGGGTCTGTGCGTACTTGGCTTTGGGGATCTTTGGAATGCATCATCGTCTTCTTCTGCACAACGCGATGATCGTCTGTCTTTGTTTTCTGTGTCCGGAAACACTTCTTTATCAGTTGAGATCAGACGTCGAAGCTTTTTGGTTTTTAAATGGTTTTGACAGGTTTCACATAAATATGTTACAGGAATTTCGACGCCTCCAGAATCATGTGCACTTCCGGTACTAAGAACTCTTATTCTTTCACAAGATTTCGGTATTGATGTTTGACTTTCATTGTCCGAGTCGTTCGCAGCGTAATTTTCTTCCTCAACCTCGCAGTATCCATGACGAGAGAAATTTCTGGTGCGAGAAAATCTGTTGCTACTTATGTCCTCTTCATATCCTTCGTTGTCAAAATAACTTTTGGGCGTTCGAGGCTTTTTCAAATATATGCTGCTTTCATTCTCGATCGTAATGCTGTGTTCCGGTAACGTGATGCCTGTGATAAACTTTGAGTTGTTCGTCTGGTCCCTCGGAAATATATATTCGGGTTCATAAGAGATTCTCGGTCTGTTAAGAGAGACCACATGTCCAGGAATCCTTTCACGTTTCACATGTAAATTTTTTTCCACATAGTCTCTCAGATATCCCATTTTGTTACGAACTCGGCGATGGTATCGAATAAATGATATACCTAAAAACACAATCAGAACAGTGGCCACTACAATTGATGGAATATATAAAACGGCTTGAGGATAATCAAGTTCGTTTTTGGCGGGAACATTACTGTTACCCGTATTATTCATTTTCAATAGTCTTCGAATCAGCTATACTTTTCCGAAGAACTATTTTAGAATCGGTTCTTCACAAAGCATGAGGTATCGAGATACAATGCTGAAGGTTGCTTGGTCAGTTGCCGAATCTGGATTATATCATTTTGTCAAGTGCTGTTCGTCGTAACACTGGTAGACGTTGGCTGTCCCGTTTCAGACTGAAATATAAAAAACGAAAATTGTACCTTTTATAATGAACATAAAATTCATTTGGCAATTAAGAAGTATATATATATAAAATTAGCAAATAGTGGCACAAAAGTTCGTCAGCTAGACAGCGATGCCGTTATACTTAAATTCTGAACGGAAAGAAGAGACAAATAGAAATGAGACAGGTGAAATAGAGCTGAAATAGAGCCGCATTCTGTAATACAAGAATGGTGACTATTCAAAGGTATAAGACGAAATTTGTAAAAGCTTGACATTGTGAAAATGCTTTATACCACTTCCTTGTGTAAAATAACAATAACAACACACATGTATTAGAAATCGTTACAATTATTGACCGATTTTATTAGTGGATATCATAGTTCAAATTTCCTACCTTGTCTTAAAAACTTACTAATAATATAACCCAAGTGTCCTTTTTCTATCATAGTACCCTACTGTTACACATAAATAGTCTTCTAAACCTACACCTTCAGACCACAATAACTGTCTATTTAAGTGGTCCGTTGTTGAGAAATACGTATTCGACAAAAATGAAGAATTAGCGCAAATGATTAGGTGCCTTGTTTCGAATCCTCCTCAAGGTTAGAAAAAGTTTTGATGGCGAAGTCGACTTTAATCCCTAAACAAAATTAATATCCTCGCCAGTGTCTGCCTATATGAATATCTAATTAAAAATTTCCTGATTTTGAAAACGTCAACACTTCCCTTTAACGCTGTGCTAGAATATTTTCTTTTTGTGGCGGTGGTTGTTGTATTTTAGTCGGTAGCGAGTTGAAATAGGTACCGTGCGTGTATAGTCAAAGACGTATGTATTTGGAAAAAAGATTTACTGAATTTTTCGTCAACGGACCAAAACTAAATTATTTTTTTCAAATCGATAGATCGATGATGTACACTGATAGAGTTTAGATTATTAGATTACTTGTGCGTGTCTATAAGATATCGGGCTTGTTATATTACAACGGAACATTTATGTTAATTATTCATTGCTTACTTAATACTTTACGAACATACTTGTAAATAACAGACTTAAAGTGGTGGTTCATACCGATTGACATATATTTTGATTTATTTTTGTCATAGTCTACGAACCGAATAAAACCGGAATATTATGGAAGATATTAGAAAATGATCGTCATAAAACAAGGATTACTCCACCTATTGCAACATAGATGAAAAAAAAGAATGATTTTTTTTGATTTTGACATATACGGATTCACCACTCCCTTTACTAACAAAGTCTTGTTATAATAGTTTTAAATATTCAAGTATCTATCCGAATTATGTAACACAACTTATTAGTATGGATTAGGATTAATTTACATCTAATTTTGGGATGGATTTAAGGTCAAGGGTGGGGTGACTGGACATGCTGAACTTTCCTTTTTGTTTTAAAGTGACCTCATGATATGGTCGACCCCTTTTAAAACACTTACATTAAAGGTGAACAGTTTGCATTTGTGGCGTTGATTTGGATTGCATGTAACCTGCATGAAATTTTTGCCTTATCTTTTCAAGATATAAATTTCACTTTCCATTCTATATGTCTTTTCTATCTATGTTGTAGTCTCAAGAAAAGACGAATCTCCTTTTTAACCGGATAATACTGGACACACGTGGATTTGAAGGCAACTGTCGACGGTGAGATGTGAACATTATTACGGATGAGATTTGGGAAAGGTATGCTTATTGGTCGAACGTATCCCTTTAAACTGGAATATTATGGAAGTTATAAGAAAATGAAAACCATAAAACAAGGATTACTCCATCTACTGACATCGTCGAGAAATCCCAAGAATGATTGTTTCACTATACTGAAGAAAAGAAGACAAATCTGTCCCCAAAACGAGAAAGAATTCAACTTTCAGTATGGCAGTGACTTTAAAGGCATCAGAATAATCTTTGAGTGTCCATTATACACGTTCAAAATCTACCAAACCAAGTCAGAAAATGTTCATAGAAAATATTACCGTAGCTTGATATTTTAAGTATGTTCTATTCCCTTGTGATGATTTACTAGAATAATATATACAGTTGTATTAAGGAAATAAATCATATTCACACTATAGTCATAGTAAGCCTTTGGTATTGTCAATTTGACGCCTTTAGTGACATAAAGGAAATATTTTCGACCTTATTATGCAGTCGAGGATATACGTTAAATTTAATATTATGTGTATAATTCACAGTAAACGATGCATGATTTCAAGATATCATTTTAATTCATTTATGTATGTACAACATTTATTTTCACAAAGTCTTGCATTGTCAAACGTCAAAATCTCGATAACTTATTCAATATTAATGATTCGGATCGTATACAGACTTGTATTCACTGAAATCAATCACTGTAACATATATTTTATTGAATGGTTATATCAGACCCACGATAAATAGGTTAAAAGGTACAAAAAGTTTATAATTCTAACTATATTTCAATCGACCTTATATTAATAATCTTGATAACGACAAAAACTATCCATGATAACAACAGAAACTATCCAAAATCTCGATAAAAAGTAGATGCAACCATAATCATCTTTATAACAACAAACACTACCCACAATTTTGATAACAACATAAACTATCGACAATTTTGATATCCACAGAAACTATCCAAATTCTCGATTACAATAGAAACTATCAAAACTTTTCTAAACAACAGAAATTATCCACAATCACGATAACAACAAAAACTATAAACACTCTTATATCTAAAAATTCTTTGAAATCTGATGAGAATATTGGGTATAGGTAAGGCGAGGGCCCAGAGCTGCTCAGTCCGCCCCTGTATAAACATGAAGATACACAAACGTTGAACAGTTCAAGATTGTTTTTATTAGGATAAAATCTGTATATATGTATCCTATAGATTGAAGAAACCCCAGGGTATCATAAGAAGAAGTCCGATGTAATATAAAATCAAACTTACCATTTGTTTACATATTCAACCAATTCAAGACCAGACGATTATTGACTAGATAGAGACGCGTCAACGAGCACTTATGTTACAAAGAAAAACAGTATTTATCAAACGGACTATTGTCCTGTACGTTATAAGAAATCGAAGCTTGGTTACAGAAATAATATGATTGAAAACAACATACTAGTTGCTAAGATCAGATATTTTAAACGTCTTTCGAACTGATTTACAAAAATGAGCATATTATGTTTATGGCTTCACTTAAAACTAAAACGCTAATGAACACTGGAAGAGATTGTCTGTGAAAGGGGTTGAAAGTCCTCACCGTGCAGACACTGAGGTACTGACCGCGACCCTTGTTAAGACTATATGGATGAGGCGGACCCATCTTAGTATTTCTGATTATTACTAAAGGGACAGATTCGCCATCCGTTTGACCAATCGTAACTTAGTCTGAGAAACGGGAATATTTTGGCTGAGTTAATCAGTAAAGTATTCACAGCTCACCGTCGAAGTTTAAGCCTTCATATCCATGTGTGTCCAGAATTAATGAAAGATAAAATGACTACTCGTATCATATCATATATAGAAGAACATAATATATAGAAATAGAAATTGTAATTCCTACTTTGAGATCATTTCGAAGGAATTATGTTATTTTCGAAAAACTTCTAGTGCTTCAGGGCCAAATTAACCCCCGAAAATGGCAAATCTGTCAATTTAATGACGACCTTTTAAGCAGAGCAATGGAATGGCGTCATTTGCTTAGTTATTTCGAAAAAATTGTGGTCGTGGATTTTGATCTCGGTTGGCGTACGTGAAAGTCTGGTAAACTTGAATTTGCTTTTCTCCATGATTCTAGTCGATCCAGCTGTAAATGGTTACTGATTATCGGATAAGATCAATGCCAGTAGGATTGGCCAAAGCCAGTACCTTTTGACCAGTTGATACGAGTGGGTCTAGATAGAAGCATAAAATCCTTGTAATTGATAGTCTACAGTGACTATTAAGTCCAAAATAAACTAAAAGAATTTGTGGGGGTGGCCAATTACTTTCGGTTGTACTTACTCCAGTAATTCATGCATCTCTTTCCACGTTAAATCATCAAATTCAACCTTCTATTACTTTTTCTAAAAAGTCATTGAAAATTTTCCAACAAGCTAGCTAGTCAAATTGAAAGTAGACCACAACATTTGATGGACACAATCCGATAATTCATTCAGCATCAGTTTCCAAATTAACTCTCAAAATTCAACCTTCTATAACTTTTTTAAGAAATCTCGTTGAAAACTTTCCAATATGTCACATGAAAGCCTGGCCAATGCTTAGTTTATGGACAAAAATTATCCTTCCGCATGAAAATCTCTCTCAACAAAATCTGAAAGAAAATGCTATTTCAGACATCATTTTCCAAATCTAGACAAAATATTAGTCAAAAATAGGCATGCAAAACCCTCAAAAGGGAGCGAGAAAGAGGATTTTTGAAAATAGCAGGCACGGACTACATTCGTATACAATCATCGTTTTTCGTTAGCATAAGATAAAACATCTTGTAATTGTAACAGCACACAAAAGGACTACTTTTAAAAATATCCATCCGCAAGTGTTTTTCCGGGCCCCTGGGGTCCAAAGAGTAGGAAAAGTCCAAAACATGGGCCAAATGGGAATATTTGGCAAAGTTAGCTATTGGACGTTTTCCTTCTATATGGCCTATAAGAGCAGAATGTCGGCAACTTTTCCCGAGCTAACTTTTTCCCTATGGGAGATTTTTCAGTTCGGTTTTTTTCGCAATGTCTGGATGGTTCACGTGCATATGTCTGCAAAATTTCAGCTTTGTAGCTTTGTAACTTTGCAAGATAAAAATTTATTTGTGTCTAAG